GTTACATATGATTATTTGGCATTTTATTGATGTTGACAAAATCCGACCATCCCAGCCTCGAAACAGCGAAATTTGGGAAAAAAATTTCGCTTTTTGTCAATAACTCCCGAACGGATGGACGTAGGTGGACGTATTTAGGCTCATTTTGTAGGGGACGACGAGATCTACAATTTCTGTGCAAAAAGAATTCGCTAGTGCCAATAGTTAACGAGTTATTTGCAAAAATCTGTTTTTCTGTTTTTCGCCAATAACTTCCAAACGGATGGACTTAGGGAGACGTTTATGGGTCCATTTTGTAGGGGACGACGAGACCTACAATCTGTATATAAAAGTTTCTCGCTAGCATCAATAGTTTACGAGTGATTTGCAAAAAACGAAAATTTCACAAAATCTGAAAGCGTACGCCTTGGAAAAATCTCGAAAAAATTGAAAATCTTTTTTTCGCGGAATTTTGAAAAATGCTTCAAATAAAAGTTGTAGGTACTGCTATTACATGTAAAAAAGATCGTATACAACGAATGCGAGCCACGTGAATTCGCGCGATTCACCGTAAGCGATTTTCAATGACGATCGGGAGTCGAGTATCGCTGAGCCATGACAAGAGAACTAGACGAGGTTGCGACAGCTGCCTCAGCCACGTAGAGATGAAGACGGGCCAAGCTGAAACTGGGAGATGTGGGATCAGCTGCCGGAGCTGATACTGACGCAGATATTCAGCCACCTCGGTCGCGGGGACCGTGCCAATGTTGCACAAGTCTGTCAATCGTGGAACCGTGCGCTCGCCTCGCCGGTTCTCTGGCGTTCCGTCACAGTCCTCATCGATCGTGATCTGCGTGGTGACTTCCCGCTGGCGGGAGAACTAGCCGTACGCAAGCATTTAAAAAAATAAAAATAAAACTTCCCCGTCGTCCTTCCCTTCCCACGAGAACGATCAATTAGCTGGACGATTAGACGAGATCGAAGCTGAGCTCGATCTTTGGAGGCTAGTTGCCGGTGTCACAGATTCATTGTTGCCCAGCTAACGGAGATGGTCTGGCTTTTACGAAGTGAACAGAAGAACCTATTGTTACGACATTGTTAAACGATACAAATAAATTTCTTGAGTATCCTAACATCATTTCCTGTCGCGTAGTTTTAGTAAACGATCGCGTGCACCGGTTCGTACAATGTCATGGTGTATCACTTGTGTGGCGAACGCGTTTTAGGCGAAATATGGACAGCATATGCGAAGCCTGGAACTGGCCTGGTCCCGACCGTACATCTTGCCAAGAGAAGCTCGCATCACTCGTAACATTCAAGCCGAAGCTGGCGCCGACTTCCTCACGGTCGTCAGAGCCAAGAACGTGCAGTTGAAGAAACTCATACTCACCGATTGGATCTTCAGCTGCAAATGGGGCAACAGGGGGAAGCTGTTGTACGCCCTCGCCAACTTCTTAGGGTAATCTACGCGAGTACAGACCTAATCTTTCCGAACGAACACTGAGATGATTATCCGTCCCACTTTTACGCGTTTCTGCACCGGGGCTATTATCCTAAACGCTTACACGTTCCCACGTTGATCTAATCGACGTCCGTTTACGCAGCTGTCAGCACAACTTAGAAACACTGAGCCTGCTGAACGCGAATCTGGGAGTTAGCGACGTGCTCCGGCTTCTCGCCAGCGTTTCCAGAGGCTCGAACGAGCACCTGACGTACCTCGACCTTCGAGGCGCGTTCCGCGAATGGCAGGCACCCCATAGTAATCCAAGGCACGTGCATCAGCAGGATTCTACCCGGTCATCGTGAAACCTTTCTACATCGGAAGCAATTTTCAGATATCTACGTCTGCTCGGTCGATTTCGCGCGTTAACGATACTCCGGCTCGATTATCCGGCGCTGTCCGATCAGACCCTCAACGCTTTGACCAACGCGGCGCCGAAAGTACTGAAAACGCTGCACATATCGGTGAGGGACTCGGATTCGAGGCACCACACGATCGCCGACACCGCCTGGCACGATTTGGTCCTCGTTTGCCCGGAGCTGACGGTTTCTTATACTCTAGGTACAATATAATACAGAGTGAAATGTTGATCGCACGGTTAAACGACGTTTGATTACGGGAAAACGCGCGACGTGTCGATGACAACTGATTCTATGCACCATTTAGCTTGTTAAGTTTGATTTTTCAGTTAACATCTCCCATTACGAGGACATGTGCTACTTGCTGCTGCCCAGCGTGCCTTTGGCCAGGTTTCAAATGTTCAGCGGCCACGTCTGGGATCAGAGTAGATCGCGCAATTTCCGAAGCACTGTCGGACTGCTTATTACTCATTACACCAACACGCTCGGTATAATAAACCCCACGCGTCTCATTCTCTAACTGCGAAATACGCGAAACTCCTACGCTGATCTTTTAATACGAACTATTACAATAGCGATTAAGAAATTGGGATCGTTTGTTAAATTCGTTTAAATGTTTATATTGTGCTCCGTAGCGGAGGTGATGTTGCAATTGAGAAACAATCGCGAGATGCTCGACGATTTACTCGTCTCTATGCTTGTACGCTGCAAACACCTAACGAGATTACAGTACGACGGTATAATAAGAAGTCTTGATACCCTGCGTGATATCTGTCAGCTTCAGGCTGAAAGCAAGACCCGTAAGTTGTCCAAACATCTCTTATCGAAATCATGATTTCTGATAAAACGACGGTAATAAATCATAAGAGGAATTGACGTTGATCGAACGAATTTAGTTCTACGTTTAATGTTATTCGTGTATAATAAACGTAATTACTCTGCAAATGAAAATTTAAATGCGGACATTGACTTTCGAAGAGAATTATTTTTAAACACCAATTATATTTATGAAATTCAGCAACAGGAAATCGTGATTTTCATTTTCTCCTCCTTTAATTTATATGTACGAAACACATAATACGGTGATAGATATTAGGTAATGAGCTTTTGAATTTAAATAGGTTTCCGTACGATCCACGTGAAACCGCGCAACGTTAATGCTCGGAACCGCGGAATATTGAACGACATCAATTATCATTTCGATCACAAGATGATGGATCAAGGAGTAGATTTTCGTATCGAGGACCCGGCCTCGGTTCTGGTGTTCTACTAAAACACGGAGAGTTCTCAGCTGTCCACCGGTATCTGTCCCACTCGCGTCTCTCTCAAAGACAAAAAGAGAAAAAAAAAATAATAAAACTATATTCGCCCTGATTTTGGTGCGACTCATTCTTTTTTTTTTTTGGTCCATTTTTGATTGTATACGTTTATTTTGATAAGTAGAGTCGTTTATCCTTTGTTAAACACTTTTTACAGAACATAAACCAGTCTTATCGGATTTGCTTGGTTTTTATAATTATACAAGATAATATTTAAGCGCCGCATTGTGTTCACTCTTTCTTCCCGATAACCGAGAATTGTTCGACAGATAATAAAGATTTAAGGAATAAATTCACAGTATTATGAAATCACTTTTCTTTTTTTATTATTAATGCGTCGGATAAGTTTTCGCCAATAATAAATAATGTTATAAAAATGTCTTACAGTTACAGTTTGTAAAAATATCTTAAATAATAATAATATGAAAAATCGTTTCACTAGCTTTAATAAAAATTGTTCTCGTTGATTTCACGTTTGAATAACAGCCTTCGTCAAGCACAGCTAGTATACAGCAATATTATTTTAAAAAAGAAAACGTGTATATAAAAGTAGAAATCTAAACTAGTGTTCGATATATCACATTGCACCAATGATTTTTCTAAAGCTTCCGGTTAAACCATCGTAAGCCCGTTTTATTTGATACAAAGATTACTAAAATTGTCATTTGATTCGTTTTGCTCATTAAACAAGCTTTTACTTCCAATGTAGATTTCTGTTATCGTTGCTACCAGGCGACATTTGTGCAACTGATTTATAATGATCGTATCGTTCAATACTAACATCAAGGACGGCTTTATTCACGTACGACGTTGTTATCACTTAGGATAAAAAGCTTAAATCGTTTACGCCTTGAATTTATGAGATTATCGAAGGAAATTCGCGATATCAGAATATCTAAGAGACTGTTTATAGGACTAAGGATGTTCGTGTATTATATTTAGGACGTCCTCTTGATGAAACTTAAGACAAAAGCTCGCTTCTTTGAATCGATCGAGCTCGAGTGGTTAACCGCCCAGGTGGATGGCGATTGTATGGATAAGGGTTGCCCTGATTCCGCGAGGGTCTCGTGATCTCAAGGGTCATAAGTTTCTCCTGGACGTTTCCGTGCTAAACGAGTTACGATCTATTTTCTTTCGGCGAATAAGAATAAGTAACCAAAATATCAAATCTGTTTCAAAGATTAAATTCACTGGTTCAAGTATTTCAGATCTCTTGCGTGCAAAGTTGAGCCTTTTTTTTATTAGCCACGTCGCGTATTGATTTCTTATTCGCGTCGGTTTATAAATAAAAAAGGATCGAGTTCTTGGCCTCGTAACATTGAACTGTTTTTTAAAAATATTTAGATCAATGAAAACTAAATTGCAACAAGATAAAATGTAAATTATTCTTTTTTTTCATCAAAAGATTTATACGAAGCTTGAATGAATTCTTGCATTTCTCGATTCAATTTTATATAAGAAGTCAGTAAGTTTACTCACGGTATAATTTCGTTTCCCAGCTGTTCCTTCAGCGACAGGATTTCAAATGAGTATTCAGGACGGTCCTGGTAACGAAACCTTTGCCGCAGCGCGTGCAGACGTACGGCCGTTCGCCGGTGTGATAACGTTTATGAACGACCAGCGTGGACCTCTGCGTGAACGCTTTGCCGCATTGCTCGCACGAGTACTTCCTCTCGCCGGTGTGTGTCACGTTGTGAGTCCTGAGCAGCGTTTCACAAGCGAAACATTTACCGCAGACCGCGCAAGTATACGGTTTCTCGCCGGTGTGCGATCTATTATGAATCTCGAGGCCTTTGGCCGTCTTCAATTCTTTGCCGCAAAGCGCGCAGAGGTATCGCCGTCTCTCGTAACCCGGGGTTCCTTCGTGCGCCTTCACCTTGTGCTGCTTTAACGCTGACTTATACTTGTACGTCTTACCGCATACATCGCATTTATGTTTAACGATTACCCCCTCCTCGTTCTCTTGAACTAATGCCGCTGGGTCGTAGTGGTACAGGCGATTGTGCTCTTTCAAACTGTGAATCGGGAAGATTCTAAGATCGTCATGGTTTTAAGATTTAATTCCATTTACTTTTCTATTCCTGAGTGACGTACGGAGTGTTTCCGAAAATGTGAATGACTTTCGGAAGCACTCTGTATATTTTGTATAATTGATTCGTTCTATCCTTTCACGAATGAATTACTTAAGGAATAAAAGAGAATAGAATATTCGTGTACCTGAAGATATCGTCGAAGGTAGCACCGCAGGCGTTCTCGCTGCAGATCTCGCAAGTGAATTTGATGTCCAGGCTGTGATATCGTTTCGCGTGCCTCTCCACGTCGGCGGCGTTCACCCCCATGAATCTGCATTGACCGCAGGCGGTCGTTTTTGGAGTATGGGAATTTTTCACGTGCGCGTTTAGCATGAATTGCTGTGGGTACGCTTTCCCGCAGGTGACACACTTAAACGGTCTATGGATACCGTGAACGATCCTCAGGTGGGCCACCAGTCTCGTTACGAAGTGAAACTTCTCTTGGCAGAAGTCGCAGACCTTCTCGTTCGCTTCGAATCTAGAAAGGAAGAATCGATTTCCCGACGTGCATTGCATTTTTATTTTAAACACAACATGTAACTGGATTTAGGATCAGTCGAGTTTTACATGTTCGTTTTTCTAACATAAGTTTAATACGTGATCCAATTATTTTTATGATCAAGCAATCTTATTTCTAATGTATTGACACCTTTATTCTAATACCACAGATTTTACAGGAGAGCAAAAAACTTACTGTTTCTGTCCAGTTTCATGTTTTATATTATTCTCTCATATATTTTAATTCAGAAATCATTTGTGGAGTCGAGATTGAAATATTAAAAATATTTTTAAGATAAGAACGAAGATACGTATTTTTGTAAAACTCACTTCTGTTGAGGATCCTCAATCTTGATTCTGAAAGCTTCGATGTTGCTCTCATCGTGACCGTTGCTCCACTGACTGGAATAACATTGACAAATAATATACACATTCACAGGAAGCATCGAGCAATGAACACCGTACATTAGGAAAGTGAGCCATCATCGACTGTTCTTATAAATGCGCGTGTATTTCTCAATAAAATACAAACTCCCATAAAAAATCATTTTATTACAAAAGACAAGTATCGTGATAAAATCAAGTCTTCTCGTGGACCTTCCGATGTTTCTTGAGGAAACTGCCGGAGACGAATCCTTTGCCGCAGTCCAGGCATTGATACGGTCTCTCGCCCGAATGGTACCGGAGATGCAAAATCAGGGAAGTCCTCTGTGTGAACCTCCTGTCGCACTGCGAACAACTGTACGGCTTCTCGCCAGTGTGTATCCGTCGATGAATCGCGAGATTCTCTTTACTAGAAAATTGTTTCTCGCAGAAGTCGCATTTCGCGATCTTCTCGTTCGCGTGGCCCCGCCTGTGGACCATCAGTCGCCTTTTAGAAGAGAGCACGGCCCCGCATAGGTCGCACAGATGCATCTTCTTCTCGTGCACGCCATGCCGCTGCTTCAAGTGCCTCTCAAGGAACATTTTCCGTGTGAACCCCTCCAGACAGATCGTGCACACGTGCTTCTTCCGTTCGTTCTTCGACCTCACCGGCAAAGTGTCGGCGTGATGCATTCTCAAATGATTCGTCAGGTTCTTTTTATAAGGGTAGGACTTCTCGCAGTGTTCGCAACGGTACAATTGCTTACGCGTGTGCACGTTCACGTGTTCTAAGTATTCCGTCCTCAGGAAAAACCCTTTCTGGCACAGCTCGCACTTGAACGAATAGTCTTTGGTGTGCCGGCGGCGGTGGCTCTCCAGATTCGATTTCTGGTTCGATCTGTAGTCGCACAGGTCGCAGGCGAATTTTTTCGAACCGGTGTGAATCAATTTATGACGAGCTATGTTCATCGGGCTCCTGAACGTCTTTCCGCACTCGTCGCAGCTGAAGGCTCTCTCGATCCCGTGCAGATTCTTCAGGTGTTCCACCAGCTTCCGCGTGTGGCAGAAACAGGCTCCGCACTTCACGCACTCGTGAACCGTACGCGAAATCACTCTTCGAGGCCTGAAACAAAACGAGTCATGAAGTAGATAATAAATCAGAGGATTATTTTATATGGGATACTTAAATTTATTTTTTACCATATACCTACCGATATTTGATGAATGGAATGGTTAATAACACCGAGGAGAGATTACCACCGAGGAGAGATTACTAAAGAGTGGCAGCCTTATGGGACCTCGCGGCCCCAAAACCGGTCTGCAATTTTTGATGACCTCTAGAATGAGCTGGGCCGAAAAGTAAGAAACACGCAGCAAAACTGACGTCGGTTTTAAACTGCATTACTGTGTCAGACTGTCAGACGTGTTATCGACGAGTCGTCGATGCACCGCTAACGAAGTAATATCACAAACAAAGTACACAAAGAAATACATTGATCAATTTCTACTTATGTATACTTTGTTTGTGATATTACTTCGTTAGCGGTGCATCGACGACTCGTCGATAACACGTCTGACAGTCTGACACAGTAATGCAGTTTAAAACCGACGTCAGTTTTGCTGCGTGTTTCTTACTTTTCGGCCCAGCTCATTCTAGAGGTCATCAAAAATTGCAGACCGGTTTTGGGGCCGCGAGGTCCCATAAGGCTGCCACTCTTTAGTAATCTCTCCTCGGTGGTAATAATAATTTAATATATACAGTCGATCTTATGATTTTTTAATCTCTTATTATAAAAACGAAACTGATCTGTACATATTCTTGTAATAAGGATCGATGTACAAACGAATAGGGACGATGATCTCACTTATAATAATTTATAAGCAATCGTTAAGTCAGGGTAGGTAAAGATTTATTAAAAAAATTCTACTAACAATTAAAGTTCTGCACTTATACATCTTCTTATATAGATAAGGTTCTTCACAGTAATTATCAGTAGATATAACATATTCACTTCGTAAAAAAAATTCACTGTCAGAGATCGATTCAGTAACAATAGACAACACAATAGATACTTGTCTCACGTTTCGTAATCACGTCCTGCGTACGAAGTGTACACACTTATAATACCACACTACATATTTTTAGACGAATAAAAGGATTTGAATTTTTCAAAGTATGCGCCTGTCACCTCAGAAATTAAAATCGTTCTGTTTCAATAAAAAGAAAATATCATCGTAATCTTTGCAGTCTTTTCTTTTAAGAATTTATCAATAAATGTGTTTTTTACTCGATGAAAATTTATTCGAGTA